AAGCCTTATAGCAGCCATTTTTCTTCAAGAACTCACCAGGGGATCAGTATCGGTGTAACACTAGGGACTGTAACACCTAGTCCTTTATTGAATCTATACACTGTGTACAAAACCTCTCAACCAAGTTTAATATCTTGCATTTTACCCTGTCAATCAATTAATTCTGTACAAAATTGGCCAGATTTACGCATTTACATTTATTTAGCATTTGCTTTTACACAAAGCGACTTACAAATGAAATAATTTACACATGAAATAACCTGTCAAAAGATCTTAATATTTAAAAACTGCTAGAGAATATTGTAATACATATTGAATATTGTAATAAGTAAGACCTTGAAGAAAACATGACAAAGGAAAGTTCCCTCTCTGCTCAGATGATTAAAAACCTCATATTTTTCGTGTGCTAGTCCACCACTCCATTAGGGGGCACTCTCACCATAAAACAACTAAAACAACAGAACTGCACTGAGATTGTCGGTAATTCTGGTGATAAAAGAATTTACAAGCTTAATCATGCAGGTAAGTCACAATGAACAACTTGCTGATGTAGATTTATGGAAACAAAGTTTCAGAGTTGATCTTTACATGGCATTTGAAGCACATTGATTGACTATAGATGAGCTTGTCTGTTTACTTCCTCTGTCCTGACCTCAGCCAATCAGCATGCAGCATTCCATCGCATCAGTGCAGGATGCACACCCAGGGTTGCTATGCAACGGCAATATTTTGTCATGAAGGGTAAAACCAAAACGTTTGTTTATTACCCTCTCTGTACTTTGAAATGGTTTTCTCGAGTCTACTGTGAGGGGAATGACTGTCATGTTGACATTATCATTTGTCTGAATTGAAACAGATGGCTGGTTTACTGAACTCTGTTACAAGTGCACATTGTAAGGTAATTTATAGAAAGGTGCATTTCACAAGTTTCACAGTAGTTTTGGCCTACAACCAGAACCGTACAGTGGCCAGATTTCAATATGACCTATTTCCACGTGGTATGTGTGAGCATGTTGATGATTCCTCCATTGGCATGGAGCTGTGTGATGAGTCTCTTTCTTAGGAGAGAGTTTATTACATAAGCCTTCAGTCTCTTTCTCTCGCTCCCTGAACAACTTTGGCATTCATCCCAGATGCCATACAAACACATGGGTATTGGAGAGTTTGTATAGACAAGCTTGTACTGTTGTTATTTTTGCAATTGTCTCTTTTTTTCTTCATCTTGAAAGAGAGGGAAAGCTATTAACAAGAAACAACTTTTTTTTTTTGACATGGTGCCAGTATCATGACAAGAGCATACCATTATGATATTACCATGGATTTCTTTGAAGTACCTTGGAGCCATGTGAATAAGCAATGTATGGATATGGAGATCATTCAGTACTATTATAGGCCTATACATCAAAGTATTACCTATGTACCGTTTCCGTTTGTGTACTGCTCTGCACCACATTCTATAAGTATTTTTTTTATTTAAATAGTAATTTTGTAGTATTTTTTTTTTAGATTTTAGGTTTAAGCTCAAATTTTGCTAGTATTTTTAGATAACTTGGAGAACCATGCAAATAAGCAGTTTATGAATATTGAGATCGTTTAGTGCCATTATATACATTAAAGTGCCATTGTACTACAGAATCTCCTTTGTGTACTGCTTTGCACTATATTTTAGAAGTAATTTTAGATTTTTTATCAGTTTTTTAAACAGATATTTAATAGATTTTCAGTTTAGGCTAAAATTGTTTTAGAATATATATATATTAGAAAACTTGGAGAACCATGAATATGGAGATCAATTAGTACCATTATTCATCAAAGTGCAATTGTACAGTAAAAGTCCCTTTTGTGTACTGTTTTAGAAATAAAGATTTTTAATATAATAATTTAATAGTATTTTTTAGATTTAGGTTTAAGCTAAAATGTTAATAGCATTTTTAAAAAACTTGAAGAACCCTCTATGAATATGGAGATCATTTAGTACCATTCTATATATCAAAGTACCATTGTACTGCCAAACATACCTTTTGTGTATTGCTTTGCGCTATATTTTAAAAGTAAATTTACATTCTTAATAGCAATTTAATATTATATTTTAGATTTTAGGTTTAAGCTAAGACAGTATTTTTAAAATAGTATAAAAAGGTATTTTTAGAAATATAAAAGAAGCAAAAATACACTATTCTAAATAGTGCCTTGGGAACGAGGTAAAGCTTATGAGGACTGTGTGTGTGTGTGTGTGTGTATATATATATATATATATATATATATATAAGATGGTTTGTAAACTCCTTGTTGTAGAATTTGAAAGTGAAGCCAAAACATTTATACATACACCGTCTCCATCACCATTTTTAAAATGATTAGCAGGCAAATGAACCCTGCAAGAAAGCTCTAATCTCATATTTCTGTACTGAGACAGAAAACTACAGAAAAACACTCAGAACACCAATCCAGAGGTGCTGTTCTGTTGTTAGAATCTTTCTAGCTGACTTTCACATATATATTTTTGTGGGGGGGGGGTCATCATGTGACACACAGCAGCCACAACAGCACTTATGTTTTATTTATTTTTTGAACACCTCTGATTGGTCATTGCATTTATTAGCATCTATTGCATTCACCAGCATCGTGTGTGATTGGTTATAATGCGCAGTGCTGTAAAAACGCTTCTGTCTCTAGCTCAGCGCCAGCCAGCGAACGAACGCAGATTTGAATTTAGCAGCTGATGATATGACGCACTGACTGAACGTTCTGTGTGATTGTATTAAATATAGAAAATATGAATCGGCTATTTTTTGTCTTTTGGAAGCTGCGTTCAAAATCCACTTGGCTCAAAAATCTGAGGGGGCACGTGCCTTTGAATGGGCATGACGCCTCTGACTGTATTTAAGGCATACATTTTTATCAGTGTTTGATAAAAGGTCAAAAGGTCATGCATGGCCTTAATCTTAGTTTATTAATGCTTATGTAATTATTTATGCAGCTTTTATAACCTCATATTGAGAGACTATGGAATATTTTAAAAAATCCATTTTAGTAAGCTAAATTATATAAAAAAAAAAAACATAAAACAAAAAACACAAACGTACTCTAAATATTGCAAACCTAAAACCTTACAATTTAAACATAATTTAGTACAATTATAATTGATGTTAAATAACATAAGACTGCATCTAATAATTAAATACAATATACCGCTCTACCGTTTGGGGTCAGTAAGATGTTTTTTTTGAAGCAATTAACACTTTTATTCAGGAAGGATGCATTAAATTGATCAAAAGTGACAGTAAAGGCTTTGACTTTGGTACAAAAATGCTGTTCTTTTGAACACTCTATTCATCAAAGAATCCCGAAAAAATGTATCATGTTTTCCACAAATATTAACCATCACAAAAGTATTTAACATTAATAATAAGAAATGTTTCTTGAGGACCAAATCAGCATATTAAAATGATTTCTGAAGGATCATGTGACACTGAAGACTGGAGTAATGGCTGCTGAAAATTAAATTTTTTTTTGAAAATATATAAAATAGATATTTTAAACTGTAATAATATTTCATAATGTTTATGTTTTACTGTATTTCTGATCAAATAAATGAAGCTCTGTGGGCATAAGAGACATTCAAAAACATAAAGAAGAAAATCCTTACCGACCCCAAAATTTTGAACAGTATGTATATAATAATCTGCTACAGCACATCTCCTCTCACCCATGAGATCAATGTTTTCAGTATCATATTACATTAAGCCTGCATGTAATAATAATAAACTATTAAAAAATGAATGGTGTCCTTTAAAAAAATTAAATGATGGAATCAGAGACAGCTGTACAGGACTGTACTTGTCTGCATGCTGCATAATTAAACACATCTGAAGTGCTGAGATTCATATTCAGAAAAACACCTGCATGTTGAATGTATTCTGATTTCGCCAAAAATAAACATAGCTCTATACTGTTTTATTCCATTGAAGTGTTTGTTAAAAACTAATTAGTTTACTTTACTTTAAAAAGCATGGAAACAGATATAACAAAAAAGTTTAAAAAAAAAAGGAATTAAATAATATAACTTGTCATTGTCATTGATTATGACTAGCAGCAAAAATTAAGCTGAAAGTAAGTAATCAAATTTCAGTTGAGAGAACTATTACTTTTTACAATAGTTGGGATTGTTTTGCATGTGATGTTTTGTGATGGGAGTGGGATGATTACACTGGGACCCTTTTATTGCTCTCTCTATCTTACGCATGGCCCTGGACACATTGCATGTATAATTTGCCAGGTTGTGTTAAAAAGATATATAGATATTCTGCGTGCTGCATACGCGTGCCTCTGAATGATGTAAAACACCATGCAATTTTTTCTTTGTTTTTGCTTATTGGACATTTTCTTTTCTGCACTGAGATGATGATGTGAGTTCCCAAGAGCCAATAGTTCAGCATTATTTTTATTTATTTAGATTATGTAATGTTTGTAGCCTCCTCAATAGCAGAGTGAAGCACCCCTTCTTTTGACTGATGGTTGGCTCCTCAGTGTGTGTGTGTGTGTGTGTGTATGCGTGTGTGCACAAGCGCCGCCCATTCTTCAGCTCTATTCAGAGAGAGAGAGAGAGAGAGAGAGAGAGAGAGAGAGAG